TTGTTGCTTTTCTAAGAAGAAAAAGAGAATTAAGGCAGTGACAATGGAAGGGTAGCATAGGAGACAGAGCCCCCTGGATTTTTGAGTCAGAAGCCCTGACTTCAACTCCTGGTTCAGTGGCATAAAACAGATTTTATAACATCTACCTTGCCTGATTCACATAAGATTATTGTCAAAATCAGTGAGAGATTTGTGAAAGCCATTCTGCAAACTAAAGCAATAGCTAAAGGATTAGGAGAGAAGTAAAATAATTTTGTTTCCTAAGTTTATAAAGATTATAGTGGGCCACCTACTTTAGTTTTTTCATACCTAAGTGAATGAATGAAATGGAAAAGATTAGCCCCCAGGCCAGTATTGCAAACATTCTCCTTTAAGGAGAGAAATAAGGCGTTGGAGGGTGGCTATGAGTAGGAGAATGCTGTACGGTCAATCCATGGCTACTGGGGGAGATGGTTTCAAACTCAAAGTCTTATCCAGAGGTTGATTTACTCTTTCCATTGCCTTTCTGCAAACAGTGAGCTGGAGGATGGCCACACTGCTCTTAACTCTCACTCTGTTAGCCCTGTGGAGAAGATTAAACAGTACCAGGCCGGTCAGACCGTGACTTGCTTCTTAAAGAAGGTGAGTAGTGGCTGCCCTGCAATGTGATGCCATCCTTCTTTCAGAAGAAAAGGGGATGAAAGTGGAGATAAAGGCCATTAGCATTGGGCATTTGAGTCTGTGTTTGCTACCATGCTGGGTTTGTGGGAGATAATACGTGGCCTCTGCCACTAGAAAACTTCTGGTCTAATTAGGGACTAAATATGGCTTACAAAACAATTAGCAAGCAGCTCACAGTTCATTATGTTGGTAGATTAATTGTACAAATGAAAAGAAATACATCATAGGGCAAGATTTAAAATATAAATGCAGAACTGGATTTTAGAGTCTTGCCTTTTATAAAGTTCAGGTGCAGTGCAAAACGAAAAAGTAGTTGGGTGTCAGATTATGTGTTTGAACCCCAAGTGGAACAGAAGTTCAAAAAGGGAAGGAGATCAGTGTGACCTGTACCAGTTGGAACGTATCAAAAAGGAAGTTGGATTGGGTTTGACCTTGAGGGATAACACCTCTTCTTTGTTACCATATTCGTCTTCAATGAGCATCTTTCTGAGCATGTCACTGATGCTTGATCCCTTTAGTTACCTGTCTGTAGACATTCATAAGCCCCAGATGCCTTAGAGTCACAGATAAATCACTTCATAATCTGACCTTGTGCACCTTGTGTGCCAGACATTCTGAAAACCTCTATCTTTTCCCTTCCTGTCTTTATTCATGTTGGTTTCTATACCTGGAGTACCCTCTGCTCTTGTTGCCTGCTGCCCTTCAAGGTTCAGCATAGATAACCGTCCCTCATTCCTAGTTCTCCTATATACTCCTGTAGCCTGTTGTTCTTCCTACATGTTACTTGCTGCTCGAGTTATTTGCATATTGATTTGACTTACTGCTTGTAGACTGTGATGTTAAAGGTAGGGCCTTGCTTTTATCACAGCGATGCCATGGGCATAGCAGCTGCTTGATAAATGTTTTGTTGAACTGACTTGAAAAGTGGGGTGTGCATTTAGGGCAGAACACTGCATAAATACCAAAGGATCAAAATCCAAATTGGTTTAGAAAGAAAATGTTGGCCCCTGGAGATGGTTAACAATCACTGGCCACAGCTGAACTTGGAGGAGGCAACAGACATCTGTGGGATTGGTCCTCCTGCCCAAGGACATCTCTGAGGTCTCTTTTGCTCCTGGGCAGCCGAGACCCTGGGAAGGATGCATGTTCTGCTAGGCAGGTGAAGGCTCTGAGCTAGACTCCAGGTGAAGCTGGTGAGAAGTGGAGTTTGGGCAGGGGCAGTGGGATGTAGGGGTGGATTCCTGTCCCTTGGAAAAATGTGGGATTAGGGCCCTTTCGGCCTTGTGGTTTTAGGAAAGTCTACGTTTAATGGAGGGACAAGAAGAGATGCTTGTATTTGCCCTACTCTGTTTCTCCTCTTTTTCTCCCAGTACAACGTGGTGAAGAAATGGCTTGAGGTGGAGATTGCCCCAGACATCCGGGGGCGAATTCCCTTGTTGCTCACATCTCTTAGCTTCAAGGTCAGTGTCCTTAAGATCCCTGGATAGGAGACCCAGGCTCCCTAAGTTTGACTCAGTGTCTGGTGTGTGTGGGTTCACAGTGGGTATAAGGAACCTCATGCTTATTTAGGGTTTGGTTTGGGAAATACTTGCTATGGGGACTTAAATGCTATGGTTTTGGATAAATGACAGACTTTCTTCAAGCATCAGAGGAATTTTCTTATCCTTCCAGGTTCTGAAACATCCAGATAAGAAGTTCCAGATTGGCCAGGCCCTGAGGGCCACTGTGGTTGGCCCAGATTCCTCCAAGGCCTTCTTGTGTCTCTCACTCATAGGTGTGGGCATGAAACGGTGCCTGGTCAGGGAAGGGAAGGGGTGGGAAAGGGTCTTCAGTTTTTGCCCAGGTTGAAGGATTCCCTCCATATTGGAATCCTCAGAAAACCTGGTGTGTGGGAGCTTCTTGGAACAGTTTTTCTCTTGGGGCTTTGTTCTGGCCTGTCTTGCTTTGCCGCTGCCTGAGTCACCTACACCTATGTGGTTTTTCTTGAGTCCCTCAGAAAGGGTTCTCTACCACATGGCCCTGGGATTCTTGGCTGGATGGCATGGTGGTCTGGGTCTTCATGACCATTCTGGTCTACTCAGCCTGGGCAGCCTGCACCTTCCCCAGCCTGTGCTTGGCCTGGATTCTGGCTCCTGTCTTTGGTTCATTTCCTCTTCCCTGAATCAGGTTCATTCTTCTCCCAGGTCCTCACAAGCTTGAGAAAGGGGAAGTGGCCATGGGCCGAGTGGCCAAGGTGACTCCCAACGAGGGACTGACTGTCTCCTTCCCCTTTGGGAAGATAGGAAGAGTCAGTATATTTCATGTGAGTGACTCGTACTCTGAGACACCCCTGGAAGACTTCGTCCCCCAGAAGGTTGTCAGGTAAGCCATGTTCTCTTCCTCTTTTCACCTATCTGTGGAATTGGTGGATGTTTTAAAAATTATAGACATAATGAATGACTTTGTACCAGAAAAAACAAGTGTATGAAATGGAAAATGAAAATTTCTATCACCTCTTTCTTTCTCCAACATTTTTCACCATTTTTTATTTTGGTTTCTATCTTTCCAGACTTTAACATATATATATGTAATTTTTCTTTATGTAATAAT